AACACAAAATGAAGAAATTCGAAAAGATGATGAGAACTGCAGCAACAACCAGTCCATGTAATGTGATAACGCCCCACAGTACAATTCAACCACCCACCTATGATGGTCAGACACCTTGGTCATCATACAAGAAGCAGTTCGAAGCCGCAGCGACAACAAACCTCTGGGAAGAAGAACAAAAAGCTACAGCTTTGGTGATAGCTTTGCGAGGCGCAGCGCTGGAGATACTGCAAACTCTATCCGAAGAAAATACAGTTCCTTAACTGCTGCCCTAGAACTTCGATTTGGGGATGAACATCTAAAAAACGTTTTTGCCGCCCTACTCAAAATAAGAATACAGAAAACGGGGGAATCTCTACAAGAATTTGAAGCAGATATTAATAGATTGGTACGTCTTGCATACCCTAACGCACCCCCATCCTTCCAAGAGAGTCTTGCAACAGAAACGTTTGTAAATGGCATTCGCGACGGTGCAGTTAAGAAGATCCTACAAGTATCAGTGTATCAAACATCACCTGATGCCCTAATTCGTGCGCGAAGAACTAGTACGAAAAATGTTGGACGAAGGCGTCATAGAGGAGTCAAACAGTCCATGGTCTTCGCCTGTAGTGCTAGTGACCAAAAAAGATGGATCGACGAGATTCTGCGTAGACTACAGGAAATTAAACGATGTAACCAAGAAGAACAGTTACCCGCTTCCACGAATTCATGACACGCTCACAACATTATCAGGATCCGCCTGGTTTTCCACGTTACACCTAAAAAGCGGCTACTGGCAAGTTGTTATTCATCCAAAAGATAAGGAAAAGACCGCTTTTTCTGGCGGAAGCGGCTTGTATCATTTTACCGTAATGCCTTTTGAACTATGTAACGCTCCGGCTACTTTTGAAAGACTGATGGAGATGGTATTACGAGAGTTAACATGGAAAACATGTTTGGTTTATTTAGACGACATCATGGTAATGGGAAAAACATTTGAGGAGCACTTGACCGATTTAGAAGAAGTATTTAGCCGAATGAAGGAGGCAAATTTGCAGTTGAATCCGAAGAAGTGTTTCCTCTTCCAAAAAGAAGTAGAATTTCTGGGGCATACTGTTTCGTCAAACGGAATCAAGACTACGGAAACGAAGATCAAGGCGATTTGTGAGAGATAAACACAAAGTCTGGAGTTTCTTGGGATTGTGCACGTACTACAGAAGGTTTGTCGGGTTTACAGACATTGCTGCTCCTCTGCACCGGCTGACGAATTTGAAGTTTCAGTTCAATTGGACTGCTGAATGTGAAGCAGCCTTTAAAAGATTGAAGAACGCACTATGCTCTAGTCCTATTTTGTCCTATGCTTGATCATCGGGAATGTTCATCTTGGACAAGGACGCGAGCAACATCGGAATAGGTGCTGTATTGTCACAGGTGCAGGACAAAGAAGAAAAAGTCATCGAGCACTTCAGCAGCGTACTTTCGAAACCCAAGAAGAACTACTGTGCTACGAGGAACGAGTTGCTGGCGATTGTCAGGGCTGTCGAACATTTCCAGAAGTATCTCTATGAACGCGAATTCCTTATTAGAACCGATCACGCAGCCCTCACATGGCTCCTTCATATGAAGAATCCCAAAGGACAAGTGGCTAGATGGCTTGAACGACTCCAACAGTATCACTTCAAAATTCGACACAGGACTGGTAAGCTCCACAATAATGGGGACTCCTTGTCGAGAAGACCGTGTAAGAATTGCAAACACTGCGACAAGATCGAGCAGTGTGAAACGTCGTTCAACTGTGAGAGGACAGCAGTTGTGGAAGATGAAGAATGGACTACCGCCCAGCTTAGAAAAGACCAAAAGGAGGACATGGATATCGGGCCGTTGCTCAAATTGAAAGAAGATGGGATAGAACGACCAGCTTGGTCGGAGATATCAGACGAGTCACCCTCTTTCAAGGCGTTACGGCCCCGTGGGACTCTCTGCATGTTGAGAATGGATTGCTTAAGCAAGCTTGGGAGAGTCCGGATGGGAAACATACCACCATGCAGTTGGTTGTTCCGGCCATTAGAACCAAGGAAGTACTTCGAGAAATACACAACGGTGGCTCTGATGCTCATTTTGGAATCAACAAGATGCTTGCTAAAGTTAGGGAGAGATTTTACTGGGTTCATTGTCGAGAAGATGTTGAGAGCTGGTGCAAGAGATGTACGACCTGTGCGGCGGTCAAGGGACCGCGGACTAGAGCGAGAGGGCCGATGCAACAATACATCGTCGGTTTGCCTTTCGAAAGAATTGCAGTGGACATAGCAGGTCCTTTCCCGGTGACCGAGGACGGGAATAAGTATATAATGGTCGCCAGCGATTACTTCAGCAAATGGCCCAAAGCTTATGCCATACGAAACCAAGAAGCCACGACAGTTGCAACAACGCTAATTGACAACTGGATCAACAGGTTTGGGGTCCCAATGGAATTCTATTCGGACCAAGGCAGAAACTTCGAGTCAAATCTATTGCAAAGGATTACTGAAGTACTGGGGATACGGAAGACACGGAACGGACTACCCCGTTGCACCCGCAGTCGGAGGGAATATTAGAACGGTTCAATCGTACCATGGAAGAACATATTGCGAAGGTGGTGGCCGAGCAGCAGAAAGACTGGGATCGACCCTTTCCACTGTTCTTACTGGCTTATCGATCAGCTGTCAGCTGTCTGCCTTGTGACATCTTGTTCGGTTCTCCGAGTGAAGAACCAAAGGAGGTCATAGATTACGTCGATGGCTTGAAGGAGAAGCTGCTGAGCGTTCACGAAACGGTGCGCCACAAGATCCGGGTGGCGAATGACAGAATGAAAACACGCTACGACCTTAAGGGTAACTCAGTAGGACCCAGGCAGGGGATTTGGTAGGGCTTTATAATCCCCAAAGAAAGAAAGGTCGTTGCCCGAAATTATCACCAGACTGGGAAGGTCCATATACTGTCGTGACGAGAATCAACTATGTCGTTTACAGAATTCGACGAGGGCCGAAGATGAAAATGAAGATCGTCCATTTAGACCGCCTTATGGAGTACAACAAGGACACCGTCGACGTTTCTGATCGGGACGATCAGAACTAACCAGGGGGCAATGTTACGAAGTAAGTCCACACGCCGCACCGGTACGATGCCTATGGCTCTTCTAGTATGTACACGTTGCTTCTCGTATGTAGTCTGACTCATCGGCCGCGCGGATGCAAGCGGATGTCGCGACGGGGCCAGAACAAGTCTCGAAGCGGCGCTCGAAAAGCCTGAATCGCCGAAATAAGGATTTTAATAGACGCCACTTTCGGGAATGATCCATTCATAATTCAGTCAAGACTCGAATGAGCGAATGCATTTAAGTTGCGAAGTTATCGCTGTCATAGTTAGTAGTGTAATTCGAGTTAAAAAAACAAATTGTTGAGATTTTACCTACGCCCGATTAATTAGTATTCGTCCGACAAAAGTAAAAATATACACGTAATGTAGTGTATGGATTTGCCTTGAAATTTTACCATGGACTTTCAGATTTTCAGGAAAAAAATTAAAATTGTATAAAACGTTTTACTCGTATGAGAGGAATGTTCAACAACCGCTTTCAGCGGTCGAGGGTGCAATTTCCTCATGGGTATTTTTTTTTCATACATTATGACTACTTTTTATTTCTAAAAAACTGGAATTGTTTTATTGGATTTCAGGGGCGAAAAAAGTTCTGTCTAACAACATGAAATTTTCTATTATGAAACAATGTAATTGTTATATTTGAATTGTTTGTACCTACAAATTTATTTTCATAACTAATAATCGTTGAAAAAAGTCAAAATGATACCTACTGTTGATCAGTATAATAAAGACTGAACTATCAGTTAGGTATAAATGCATCAAAAACTGTCAACATAACACTGTTTTCTTAGTTGACTAATCTGCACAAAAACGGATATTTTCGTGTTATTACTCTATAAGTCTATACCTATCGTACGGTCAGCAATATCAAAAATAACTTTATATGCGTGAGAGTACCATATTATGACAAAAAAAGTCCTGAAGTCGTCTATGAGTTTAATTTTTAAAGTAATGATATGCTGCCGTAGCAGATATTTGACAGTTTATTTGAAAGTTGTCAGATCGTAATTGCCAAACTAAATAAGGAACGCATTGCCAACATCATTATTTTAAAAATAAATTTCTTAGTGGTTGTTAATAATAAAATTCGATAGTAATAATAATAATTGATCTTTTGTAGAAAGATTGACTCCCAGAACTGTCAACGTTTGATACCGTTGTTGTGGAGTATTATCTACACGGCTATATCAGTAACGATAAAGTTATACAGGGTTTCATAAATGATTCATACATTCAAGTGCGCACTGATTTCTTTCGCCTCTTACGGAGTGCGTTAATATAATGGCAACGAAAGTTCAAATGTCATAATTATTCTGACAGGTGACATAGTAACCGTGATAATTAAAACTTTTAAAATTTCTATCATTACATTCATTACTAATACGTGGTAAAACTGCAGCATTAATAAATTTCACAAATCACTAGAATCAGATTTTGTTTCTCGATCGAAGTGATAAATTATCACTACGACAAATGTCATTGCGTAACTTTTAAATGCAAAAGTTTGCATTTATTCTTTGCATATAAGCTTATTAAATGCTCAAAAGTGTACAATTACCTTAATTTTAAGAACTTATAACTCAGAATTACGATTTTGAACTTCTATTTTGACATAAATTTCGAGGTTATGTCTTCAAAATTCATCACTTCACTCAGAGCTATCGAGAAAATATCACTCCATCAAGACTTGATTTCGTGACAGAATTGAGAAATGTGACAGAAATGTAGCATCAACCAATCAGCAAACGAGATTTTATCGCTATCGAGTTTTTTTCGATCGAGAAACAAAATCGCACCCCAGATACGAAACATTTATGATAGTAGTTTTTCTTCTGAATTTGAACTGCTTACAAACAATTGTAGATATAAACATAAGAACTTACCATAAAGATCTACAACTTGTGCAGCGGTATCTTCTTCTTCAATTTCGTCGGAGTCAATACATACTAATGCAGACGTCATTCTACGCATCTCAAACATGTCATCTTCAAAAGTTTCAACACAAAAATGTTCTGGGTTGCGCATTTTATGTTTCAAGAAATTAGGTAAATATATAGAGCCATTTTCTTGTATATAAAATGAATCGGTATCACTGTGGTGTGGCCGTAACAATGTTCTGTAAAAATCACAGTCCATGTTATGGATTAAATGATGCTTTACCGGGGAATTAATCACAACAGTCCCACTATGTATTTTATAATTCAAAGTAGTGTGCTCTGGAGTGCATGTATGATTTACCATAATTTCAGTCGGACCGCAGCATTTTCTTATACAATTCTTTATATTACAGATGCAACCGTAGATAGTTCCATTTTCGGCAAAATAGTTGTTTTCATTAAACGTTACATCGTCTTTTACTATCAGACTGCCATATCGGTTTCCTGTTGTAATGTTTAAAGCTAACACCTTCGGGCATGGTGGTTTTAGAGAGTTCACAGTAGAAAACAATAGCACAAAAAAAATCAGTAGAAACATGTTTTGTAGTATCGCAGGATAAAGGTACACTGACCAAGTTTTGTTAAACAATTTGTTCCCGTATCTCTACCACACCACAGGAAGGGTTGTCTCCTGTTTCTTGCTCTTACGTTATTCACTGAAGTCTTCTAAAGGCGACGAAAATTTCTATCTTGGGGAATTTATTAACGCGGGTTGCCTTTTGAACTTTTGGTCGAATACTAAATTAAAGAAATATATATAATTATATACAACTCTGTATGTTTCTCGTCGATGTGTATCCTATTTAGAAGCATTTTCTGCGTGAATTTCTCTTTCATTGTTAACAGAATAAAAATTATTAAAAATACAAACTTTGTGGTTTATTCTTATGGTTTTTGTAACGTAATTATTCGATCATTATTTAATACACAATATTGAAAGAGCAGGGAACACATGTGTAAATATTATTGTAAAAAAAATTTGAAAAAGGAAATTATACCTTCCTAAAACGTTTCCTTCTGAGATAGTGTAATCTAAATTAGCCCGAGGTTTCTGAGTTGTATCACATCTATAAACTGACCTTACTATCAGTCAACAAAACACAAATCCTAATCCGTTTTCAATCACACCTTTGTAATGTAATTAAGAATTGACAAATTGCGTATTATGTTAAGATGTTTTAAAATTTATTTTCATTTTATTTTGTTTTAATTATCTACAGAAAAATATGTATTATATACAAAATGTTTTCAATAATGCCATTTAGGTGTGATATTTTAACTAATGGTTAGTTTAAATATAGTGTACTACTATCAAAAAATTCATTGCAGCATCACTTCTTCCATTAGTTTATTTAGTGCGCATTGACTTTAGATTTTGACTGATTGACTGACTTTTAAGGAAAAAATCGTATATTTCCATTTTAGTAAACAAGAAGTTTCCTGTACCTGCTCTAAAATTTGGAATTTTGCACATAGGAGATGTTACTTACTAGGCTACCGGCAGTGCTGTAAAACCGATTCGGATCGTAAATAAAAATTCTGAACATTTTTTAAAGCATCAAATAAGACAGGATTAAGTTATTCAGACCGTGATAGATTAGATTAAGAAACATATATAAACCCTTTAACGACTATATAAATAATAAAATCTTCTGAGAAGTACAACTGAAAATAAAGCTTCTAAAAGTTTGGATGCACATCTTTAACAATACATAATACCTCTGGTTTAGCTTAAATTATCAAATAAAATTATTACCAGTTACTAAAAGTAGAAATAGTCACGAACAGGTAGATGCATTCCTTGTTTTCTTGTTTTCATCACCGATGATAAAATCAAATACTCTCACTATAAGGAAAACCGGTCACACGTTCTTTATACCTTAACGGGTTTTCTATGATATCGTTTAAACTTTCTGCGAAACTATTATTTATATTTACTAATACAAATACACGTTATTTGAATAAATATCGGGGCGGGCTGTTGGAAGCTTTCGGCTTCGAGTAAATATTGTAGGTACTATCGACGTTAAAATATCTTTCGATCAATTTATATCTAAAAATAATTATATAAAAGCAAATATAATGCCGTATGTTCACTCTTTTAGATTGTTAACTACATTTTGAATCGTTTTTAATGAATGATAGTAATTATTCTACGGGCAACCACTTCATTTTGAAAAAGTTTTTTTTTTATACCTATGTAGTTCGAAGGGGTATAATCGTAGATATACATGTAAAGTAGGCAAAACTTTTGGCCTTATAGGCTGAACCGACCCATCAGCGATCGACGGCTAATCCGGACCTAAACACTCAAAATCCGTGTCCTCAATTCGGTCTCCAAGGACAGAATTTGCAGGCGAGCTCAGTCTGACAACGCCAATTTAAGTTTCAACTAAATTCTCCCTATAAAATACTTTTAACTTGAAACTTAAAGTAATTTCTGTGGCCCAAGATTCTCAACTGGATTGAGATCTGGAGATTTTGCTGGTCAATTTAATCGTATACTTTCTAAACGGTCGTCAAATCAGCCTTGCACAATTTCAGACATTTTCGCAGGACAAATAATTTTCACACATTTTAACAAAATTTTGAGGACGCCCAAGACATTCCGTGCATACATTTTTGTGGTGAAATGACATAATCAACCTATTTCAATGCCTCTATTTTTTAGTAATAAAACTTACTTACACTTCACATCGTTTACACTGGTGAAATTTAAATATAGTTATAAGTTATAAGTAAATTTCGCTGATGAATAAGTAATAACTGAATTCCAGATGAAAATTCCATCACTGAAACCCCCACCAGCAGCGCAAAAATCTTTGTGAATTTAGGCTTGCTTATTTCAGGTGGTATCAGAATGGACATTATTATATATTCATACCAGAATAATAATAAAATATTTTACTATCAGCAGTGCCAAGTTTCAAGTTAAAACTAAATCATAATAAATATTTGGTTGAAATATAAATTTACCTACTTGTACTTTAGATTGAGCCTACCTGCAAATTCTACCCTTGGAGGCCGAATTGATAGCTAAATATTTTGTGTCATAGTACATCTATCTGGCTTCGATAGTTTCAAAGGTTTTCTATTTAATAAAAACCACGAACAGACGCACGCACGAAAGTGGAAATTGTGAACTGTCTCAAGAAAATTAAACAGTTACTCAGATGGTGATGTAAAACCAAATATTTTTGACTAAATCCAGATCTGTTAATTTTGTTATCTAGTTACTGATAAGCAAATTTTATAAGTCGAAATAAAACATCTGACAGAATTTATAATCTCTGTTAACACGTCTAAGTTTCTCTGCATCAATCACTGTTATATTCGTTCCCTTAAAAAGTAATTTTCGTTTTTGTACTTGAGTAAATTCAAATATTCATACAATTTGAAATGCTGCACACAGTAATAAACTTGACGTTTCTCTGTATGTACATTTTTTTAAGATTCAGTGTACTAAAAGTTATTAAATTATACTCCAGTGGTGTAACGTCACGATAACTTAATATTAAAAAAATTATAATTCACTCGATTAGACCAATATAAATATAAAAATAGTGAGAATTGTAAAACTGCGTCACTTTTATTTAACAACGATACTCATTACTTCATTAGATGCTACTAATGAGAATGACCGATGAAAACTTTTGAGCGTAGAAGAAATTTGGATGTCGGGTTCGACTTCCACATTCGGAGAAAACAAAATGAGAAATACAGAGTTTATACCTCAAACATTTTGCAGAATATGTATGTAATTATATTATATTGTTCAGAAATTATTAGGAAAGTATTAATACTCTCTCTAACTCCACAAGGGTGTAGTCATTAATAGATAGCTTATTAAATTGTAACTTTTCATTTAACATCTGTAGGTATGCAGAAATATGTATACAGCGTACTCACAAACTTTGAAATCGACTAGTTAAAAAATAGGTGATGAAATTTAGAAAAAGACACTTGAACTGATCGTTTGAACTATAAAAGCCGTTGTAAAAATCGTACTAAGATTAACAACCCTGAGTTTTAAATTGTAAATTACTTTCGTTACTTTTGTTACTTTTGTTATACATATATACCATATGATCCAAAATAGTTTTCATAAAGGGAGACCGTAATTAATATACTCAAGCTTATTCTATTTCTTTTTAATACAGTAATAAGTGTCTACATTAGTTCTGTATTTATCATGCCCTACGTGCGTTGATCACACCCTCCATTTATCAGAAAACTTTTGGATCATACTGTATAATTATGACTTTTTTTATCTCCTACATAGTAAAATTTTACATAATCATGTCTTCAAACAAGTCAAAACAGAATTTTCCGTTTGATAATGAGCTTCTTTGATATATAAACTGAACCATCTTCTTGCATCTAAAGTGAATTGCATTGCTTTTTTAAAGACAGCTTAATTAACACACCAATGATAATAATTCCTTTTTTTTTTAATTCATTGCATCAAATATTATGTATATCAATCCGCTGCTTGAAATTTCAGGCTGAGTCTGAAACAATTTATCATAAAAAATGTGTATTTTAGACCTTTTAAAAAATTTTAAGTTGTTCGCTTTGTAACACGCTGATGATAAAAAACTACAATTTTGACCTTGTGCACATCCTGACGACGTAAATAATCCGGTAGTATCTGTTATCGAGCAAAAATGTTTTGTTGAGTTTATCTTTAACACTAACGAACGTAAATAAATAACTTTCGTATCCACTCCAGTTCCAACTGAAAATACCTTTGTGTCTACAATATAATATTTAATATAATGTTTGGGTTAAACATTGGAATGTAAAAATAAATTGAAATTATTATTAATTGTAATATGTAGGACCTAACTTAATGGTAATATCGTGCATACCTACATGTTTCCAGAATTGTAAATTGAATTCTAGAAAATTAGCTGAGTCGCTTCTGAGCAAATTTGTTCCGCAAAAATAATTGTACTGATAGACGGCAACCTAACATTATGACAGCTCAGACATTGGAATTTATGTCTACGCAGAGCTATTGGGAAGTTCTTAATCTTAACCCAAAGTGGATAACGGACTTCGGAAACGATTAATTGTTATGTAAGTTCTTTTATTAATTACTTTTTGAATTTATGAGAAATTTGTTATGTATGAGATAAGTTACCCAGTTTGAATGTGTAGATTATTTATTATCAAATATTAACAAGTCATTCATTAAAAATAAGTGAGTAAAAAAATGGTTCTATTTTAAGTACCACACAAAGTACAAAATATACTCGTATTCATTTATTAAATTTCCGTTTATTTAGGTATGGGCGATTAATGTGTATGATTAAATTTGCATACATTTTATTATCATGGATGAGTTTTTTTTTGTCAAATTTGTTTAAGAATCCTGGATAATAACCGGCCATTTATATATACAAAATAGAAAGAAACTGCTAGTTAGTAAAAGTTCTGAGCAAAAAACTTGAATCTGTCTCAGAAATAACAAAAAAAATCCGTATAAGACTTTCTACAAAATGGGATATTTTCAAATTAATTATAATACCTTTTAAACGTATAATTTATTATATTTATATAATTTTTCTGAATCAATTTCCAATATTTTACTAAAAAATCACGATATAAAACTTCATAGTTATATTCACAACTAACGTATTGAAAGTATTAACAAAACAAGAAAAAACATATTTTTCACGTTTAAGAATGAATTGCAAAGAATTTTAATAAAGAAATCATTATGTCACCGTGTATATTTCGTGTTTTTCTTATAAACACTCAAAATTTAATACTAAAAAAGAATCTCAACTGCGTGTTATTAGCAGTTGTAGAAACTTTTAAAAAATAAAATTATAACGTTTTTATATAAAAATTTATGTAACTATAAGCAAAGAATATTTTCATATTCTAAAAATTATTTTTATTATTAATTCAGTTTATAACCAAGGTTTCGACGTTTCGCCCATTTTGGATTCTGTTTGTTATACAGGGCTCTCATTAACGATCTGTACATCCAAGTGAGTACTGATTTGTTCCGCCTCGTTCGGAATGTGTAACTATAATGACAAGGAAAGTTCAAATGTCATCATTATTCGGACAGATGACACATGAATCATGTTAAATAAAACTTTGAAAATGTCTACCATTACTAAGAATTAGCAAATCTGTAGCCCTTGTAAATTTTACATGTCACTAGATGAACGAAACAGTTATGACAGCCCTGTAGATATTCTTCTGAATTTGCACTGCTTTCAAACAAATAAATAAACACAAAAACTTACCACCCAGAGAGACAGCTTTTGCAACGGTATCTTCGTTCTCACCTTCCTCATCGAGAAAACATACTAGAGCAGACGTCATTTTAAACTTAGCATTTTCAAAATTTTCGACGCAAAAATGTTCCGGGGTGCGCATTTGTCGTTTCAAGAAATTAGGTAAATATATAGAACCATTTTCTTGTATATAAAATGAATCGATATTACTGTAGTGTGGCAGTAACAATGTTTTGTAATTATCGCAGTCCATGTTATGGATAAAATGATGCTTTTCTGACGAATTAATCCCAACAGTTCCACTATGCATTTTATAAATCAAGGTAGTGTCATCTGATGGGGTGCATATTTTATTTACCATAATTTCATTCGGGCCGCAGCATTTTCTTATACAGTTCTTCTTTATATTACAGATGCAACCGTAGATAGTTCCATTTTCGGTAAAATAGTTGTTTTCAGTAAACGTTAGATCGTCTTTTACTATCACACTGCCATTTCGGTTTCCTGTTGTAATATCTAAAGCTAACACCTTCGGGCATGGTGTTTTTAGAGAGTTCGCAGAGGAAAACAATAACACAAAAAATTG